TAGGTTTGACGCGAATCTGACGGGAGTCTCATCAAATGCTCAAAGTTTCGACCAATCAGGATTGAACACAATGTTTGAAGCGATAGAATTTCAAAGTGTTACTTCAACAACCTGGTACAACAAATATATAGGTTCAAGCAAGGTACAAAATGGGCTAGGTAACAAAACGTGTCCAACACGTTACGTGGCGCCTCGTTTCACCCTGCGTCGCACACGCAACCTTTCTCCACCTTCGTCGAACGCGCCTGAAGTCCGCATTTGGTTCCTTGCTGAACATGCCACAGTTGACCCACACAATTTCCCCCCGTCGATCACTTTCTCCTCACTTCCTCCTCGTCAATGTCTTCCTTCCATACTTCTCTTGCCGTAGCTCATACTCCCAAGCAATGTCGTAGTTTCCTCTCTAGTTCCCAAGGCACTGTCAACACGCCACCGTCAGTCCGTCTTAGTCGTCGGTCCGAATAATGAGCGCCGTCGTTAGTGTGGTTCTGCGAACCACTCCAACACACACGACTGCTCGTCCCATTTATTAGTCGGTCAGATTTGAATCAGCGTCCCGATATACCCTAACCAACCAGCCTAGGTATCAAATTGACCGTTGTAGAACCAGCTGAACCGACAATTGTCCAAGCTTTAGGAGGAATCTGGTAACCGGTTGTACCCGATACGGGCAGATGCACTTCAGCTACGGAGGTACCGTGAACTTCTACTCTGATACAAACATAAGCCACAATTTCGTTACAATACAAAGAGTACAGGAATAACAAACAAGGGCACCAGCATGACTACATCCCTGAATCAGTCATCACCATCTGTCCCTAACCTTAATACATCCCTATCCGTCACAATTGTCCAAACCTTAATAACCAACCCATATCCGAGGTACACAAATGACAATCCCGTTCCTCCAGAGGAAACTTACCAGTACCTTTTCATCCGCAGCATTGCACCACAAAGCAGAAAAAATACACCACCACCACCACCCGCTGTATCAGCACAACGCACATGCCCTTTTCCAGTCTCCCAGATATCATCACGCTGTCTTTTTTTCATTTGTTGCCCTTGGTTGTTCCTGAGTGAGGAATCCTCTTCACGCATCATCAGTACCACACCACACCACATCATATCTAGAACGCAACGCGAAAAGCCGTTGGTGTCACTATTTCGCTCGCACGTGGATTTTGGACTCGACAAAACAACAGCTTGAAAAGCTTTCAACTGATGATGGAAGTGATGATGGAATCACTCGCACGCCACTTTGGTATCGAAACTGCTCAGGCAAATGGCAAACGCCTGCACGCGTAATGTAGGGAAAACACACATGACGTGGGAACACATACAAAGCAGAAAACAATCCGTCAGACATGTGATATGAAGCAAGGAAAGCACATGTGACATGTGACATGTGGGCACGCACAAAGAAAACAGCCCAGAAGGCAAGGGGAAGAGAACACGGGGAGACGGGAGATGGGGAAAGCGTATTGACACGATACCCAAAGACAAACCTGAGGAAACACCTGGCCGTCCACACTTACCTGGAAGGCCGTGAGTGGATATCTGTAGTCCATGGTGAATGTGTCCTTGCCAATCTTCCCAACTGCAGCAACACCGGCTTGCATGCGTATCAATACCTGAAAGGAAACTCACCCTGAACACGCAGCACTACCCACCTGGAAGGCCGTGAGCGGGTATCTGTAGTCCATGGTGAATGTGTCCTTGCCGATCTTGCCAAACTGCAGCAGCAGCACTGGCAGAGCACCGATTTTTAACCACATGAAACAGCACTTCACTACCCACCTGGAGTCAGTAAGCGGGTATCTGTTATCCATGGTGAAAGTGTCCTTGCCAATCTTCCCACACTGCAGCAGCACTGGCTTATCAGAGTCGTTCCCCGGTCCGCTCCTCTCTATGAGCTACCCTCAGCCAAACAGAGCAGCACGCACTTGGCACATGCACTACGCACCTGGAAGGCCGTAAGCGGGTATCTGTAGTCCATGGTAAAGGTGTCCTTTCCGATCTTGCCAAACTGCAGCAGCAGCACCGGCAGGGCTCCGAACCATACACACTAGCATTCAAAGAAGAAGCACCCACCTGGAAGGCAGTAAGCGGGTATCTGTAGTCCATGGTGAACGTGTCCTTGCCAATCTTCCCAAACTGCAGCAACACCTTCAGGGCACCGCACCATACACACCAGCACTTGTGCTAGAATAACACACCTGGAAGGCCGTGAGTGGATATCTGTAGTCCATAGTAAAAGCGTCCTTGTCAATCTTCCCGAACTGCAGCAGCACCGGCTTGTCCGAGTCGTTCCCCGGCCCGCCCCCCTCTATCAGCTGAAAATTCTTCACTGATGCTACTGTCACGCGGCCACGGAAGTTGAGGCACCAACACTGCAAGGGAGTACGGGAAAGGGGAGGCGGGTAGGGGGTGGGAAAGGGGGGAGCAGCACCGGCTTGTCAGAGTCGTTCCCCGGCCCGCCCCCCTCGATCAGCTGGAAGTTCTTCACTGAAGCCACTGTCACTCGCCCCCTGAAGTTCAAGCACCAGCACTGGCAGTGTGGGAGGGGGAGGGCAGGCAAGGGGAGGCAAGGGCGGGATGAGAAGGGGGCTTGTCCGAGTCGTTCCCCGCCCCCCCCCCCCTCTATCAGCTGGAAATTCTTCACAGAAGCACCCCCTGTCACTCGCCCCCTGAAGTTGAGGCACCAGCACTGGAAGCGTGTATGGGATGGACAGGAAAAGGGGATGCAAGGGAGGATTGGAAGGGCCTTATTTGAGATGCTCCCCGGCCCACCCTCCTCTATCAGCTGGAAGTTGTTCACCGAAGCAACCGTTACTCGCCCTCTGAAGTTGAGGCACCAGCACTGGAAGGCGAGGAGGGGAGGCGAGGGGAGGGGAGGGAGCGCTCGGCCCAATGTTTCATGATAGATTTCGCTTTCTAATCTGTAATTGCCTTCCTCAATACACACACACCTGCAGCTGCGCGTGCCACCGGGGAGGCTTGTTCCTCGATACCACAGTCTCTAGGGGCGCTCGGCCCATGATAAAAAGCTTTATATTGCCCTATACTCCCATATACTCCCTTATACTCCTTTGCACTCCTCCATATCCCCTTGTATCCCCTCACCTGCAGCTGCTCGTGCCATCTGCGAGACTTGTTCCACAACGCCATGGGCTCCAGAGGCGCTCGGCCTCATACTCCCTTGAACTACCCTGTACTCCCGTGCACCGCTTCCCACCCCCCAGCACCCACACACATACCTGCAGCTGCTCGTGCCATCTGGGAGGCTTGTTCCGCAACACCATGGGCTCTAAGGGCGCTCGGCTTCATCTATTTCCATACGAACACCGCTTAATACTCCCCTGTACTGCTGTGCACCGCTCCTCATTCCCCAATAAACACACATACCTGCAGCTGCTCGTGCCATCTGGGTGGCTTGTTCCGCAACACCATGGGCTCTAGAGGCGCTCGGCCGATGCACCGCACACAGTCACACTCCGTACAGTCACCCTCAGTGTCACCCTCCGCATCTGCCTCTGCATTGAAAGCAGGAGGCGCAGCAGCAGGGGAAGGAGCAGCAGAAGCAGAAGGAGCAGCAGGAAGGGCGGCAGGAGACGGGGCAGACGAAGCAGCAAATGGGGGAGTCGCAGCTGCAGCAGGGAGAGAGGAAGGGGTGAATGGGGGAGTCAAGGGACCCGAGGGGAGAGAGGAGGAGGCGAACGGGGGAGTGACAGCCGCCGCAGCTCTGGCACCTGCTGCTGCTGCTTCTGGTGAAGCCACAGCTCTTGCTGCTGCTGCTTCTGGTGAAGCCACAGCTCTTGCTGCTGCTGCTTCTGACCATGCCGTTCCGCTTGCTGTTGCTGCTGATGCTGCTGCTGCTGCTGCTGCTGTTAGTGCCGCTTCTAGTTCCAATGTGGGCAAGGGCAGGGGCAGGGGCAGGGGCAGGGGCAGGGGCAAGGGCAGGGCGGCAGGGGGAAGCTCAAGGGCAGCAGGGGGAAGGAAGGGGTCCGCGGAGGCGGGGAAGGGGGAGATATGAAGGCCTTCGCTGCCGCTGCTTTCCTGGAAACCTCCGCCTTGCGTGATTTGAGTTGACTCAAAAGCCACCTGGAAACCTCCGCCTTGCAACCAACCCTGATTGCCCTCCTGCTCACTCCTTCCCTCTCCACTGCTCTCCTGCTGCTCACACGCGCCGTCTGTCAGCCAATCCCCACACTCCTCCTGCTGATTCCCCTCCTCTAAACTCCCGTCCTCCGGACTGCTCTCCTCTTGACTCTTCTTCTCCCACTGCCCCCCCTGCTTCCACACCCTCCTCTCGCATGCTCTGCTGCTCATTGCTCTCCTCCTTACCACTGCTCCCCATTCTCTCTCCCGCACCCATCTCTTCCCCACTCTCTGGGAACGAGACCAAGGGCTCTCTTGTGCAGATTGTGGGTGGTGACCTTGCTTCCCTCGCTTCCCTTGCTTCCTCCGCTGCTGTGCATTCTTGCTTCTCGCCCTCCCCCTCCTCTTCTCCACTCCCAGTGAGCCTCACCAGCAATCTCTCCTCCTCCTCCCTCTCCTCCTTCTCTTGCCTCTCCTCGGTCTCGTTCTTCCTCCTCTCCTCTCCCGTCCCCTCCTCCCTCTCTACCTCCCCTCTCTCCACTCTCTTCCCCTCCCCTCTCTCTCCCTTCCCCTCTTCCTCCCGCCCTCCCACTCTCCCTTCAGTCACTTCTTCTACAGTCACCTCCTCTCTCTCCCCCCCTCCCCACTCAAACTCACTCACAATCCCCCCCGCCTCCCCCTTCCCCCCACTGAGCCTGTATGCGCAAGAACGGGCGGCGGGAGAGGCGGAAGACAGCGCGGAAGAGGGAAGCTTCGAGCAAGGGGGGAAGGCGGAAGCGGGGAATGTGCGCGGAGGCTTGACGATACCGCTGCTGACGTGGCCGTGTCAGCGTCATTTGCGCCGTTACAATCGCCCCGACCACCAATGGCGCTGCCGCTGCCACTACTGCTGGTAATACCTGCGCCGAGTAATCCTGTCCCGTCGCTACCCCTGCTACAGCTGGCGCCGCTACAGCTGGAACCGTTAAAGCTGCCCAAGTTACCGTTACACGCGACAGGGGTGCCGGCCCCTCTGCTGCCCGTGCTGCTGCTGCCACAGTTGTAACCACAATGGTGGTTACCACACCGATTGCTACAGTGGTTACAGTGGTGGTAACCGTTGGCGGAAAAAGCGGCTCCGCGGGGATGCACCTTGCGGCTGCTGCTGCTGCTTCCGCCGTGCGCCAGCGACGCCGCGCCGAGAGAAAACGCGGGCTGCACGAGGAAATGCGCAGGAAATGCGGCGCGGGGGGGACGGGAGGGCGGAGGGGGGGGGGGGGGGGGGGGGTGAGGGTGAGGAGGGGAGGGAGAGGAACGGGGGGGCAGGCGAAACGGTAAAATTGGCGCAAATTAACGGACGCCGAGAGGAGCTTCGACAGTTTTGGGCTTGGAAGATAAATACTGCGTTACTGGGTGCAACTTTTCTCGCCTATGGCATTCGCGACAGCTTTCTTACACCCTGGGTGTCGAGCGCTATGGTAGCTGCGGCGGATCCGTCAAGACAATATACACTACGAAAGAAGAACTCCAATACTGTAGCAAATACGGGTGCGGGTTGAAGAGCCGTAAGCTTCTTCTAGAAGTCTTCACATCCAAGTTACCCCTAACTACTCAAACTCTAAAACACCTCGGTTGAAGGAGTGTAACCTTCTTAATATTGTGTGAAAAAAGTCTATTCTAAGACGACTCAAAATTCGGTTGTAGAACTGTAACCTTCCTAACATTGTGCGATGCGAACGAACTCAGGTTTCATCGCTCACCTCGTGCGACGATTCAAAGACGGCAAATCGCGTGCTTAGGAAATTCGCTCGCAGGCGACCGACGAACGAACTTCCGCCGCGCGAAAAGTCTTTCGGATCCAGCGAGACCACGTACTCCATGCTGGAATGATTTCGAAAGTTGCGAAACAGAGCGAAACGGACACAATAGGGTGACCAGCACAAACACTTTTTCCATGCAAACGTGAATTTGCGAGACACAAACTCAGGTGTGCGATTTGAAGCGAACGAAGGCATTAGCGTAACCAGCACAAACAAGGGTTTGTTAAACGGGCAGAATAGGGCTACAAGCACAAACACCAACTCCGGTTTAGGGTCAAACGATTTTTTAAAGCAGTCGGCTATCCGCTTACCTTGACGGCCGCCAGCCGCACTTGCGCGCCGCGAGCAGGAACTTGCCGTTCTCCGTCGAATTCGGCGGCACGCCCAGAAACAGCGTGAACGTGCCGGTCTTGCGCGAGCGGCGAATGAAGCACTCCACGCAGCGGTCGCGGGTCCTTCTGTTCCCGCCCCCCCCGCTCCTCCCCCCCACCTCCTCCTCTATCTCCCTCATAGCTTCCATCAGTGGGGAATCATGCTGAAGCCTCGCCATGCCCTCCTTATAAGCACCTCTCCTTCTGTCACTCTCCTGCTCCTTCACGTGCTGCTGCTCCTGCTGCCCCTTCTTCCCCTTACCGCCCTTCTTGCCTTGCCCAGTTGCCTCATTTGAACTAGCACCACCAGCAGCAGCACCACCAGCAACAGCAGCACCACCAGTACCACTAGCACCATTGGTACTACTGTTAGCACTGCTTGGTTTAACAAACACGGGAGCTGCAATTGGGAGGTTCGGGCTTGGCATGAGCCGGGTTCGGCCCGAACCACCCGCTGCCGAACCTCCCCCACCCCCACCTTCCCCCTTTATAAGCACTTTTATCCCTGAAACCACTTCCCGCTTCATTGTTGGGATCTGGCCCCTCTCTCCTTGCTCCTTGTCTCCTTGGCCCCCCATCAGGAAGATACTGCCTACACCAGTTCTACCTCCCCCTCGCCTCCCACTCGCCCCCCCACTTGCAGCCTTTGTCTGCTTCTCAGAACCTTCCTGCCCTGGTTTGGCTCCCTCAGACCCTGCCACGACAGCTCCACCCCCTGCCACGTCAGCTCCAGGGCTATCCGCCACGAGAACCCGTCGACCAATCAGATCGAGCGGAGGAAAACTGGATTCTAGCGAAGCTCGTAGAAAACTGGATTCTAGTGAAGCTCGTAGAAATGGCTATGTCACAGCAACGAAGTAGAAGCACAGTGTTGGTCGCGAAACGCCTCACGGGAGGCTTACGCGGCCTTAACGGGGCCTCGACGAGGCCTTTACTCAACCTTGACGCGATCCTGAGGCGATTTCTGCTTCGCGTGGTCTTCACTGATCCTTCACGGGGCTTTCGCGGGCCCTACACTCGAGTGAAACAGGTTCGGCCCTTCGCAGGGCTTTGACGGGAGTCTCGCGGCTGAAATTTCCGTCACTAATGCTTGTCTAAGCCTTCACAAAGGCTTCTCCGTAGGTTTGACGCGAATCTGACGGGAGTCTCATCAAATGCTCAAAGTTTCGACCAATCAGGATTGAACACAATGTTTGAAGCGATAGAATTTCAAAGTGTTACTTCAACAACCTGGTACAACAAATATATAGGTTCAAGCAAGGTACAAAATGGGCTAGGTAACAAAACGTGTCCAACACGTTACGTGGCGCCTCGTTTCACCCCGCGTCGCACACGCAACCTTTCTCCACCTTCGTCGAACGCGCCTGAAGTCCGCATTTGGTTCCTTGCTGAACACGCCACAGTTGACCCACACAATTTCCCCCCGTCGATCACTTTCTCCTCACTTCCTCCTCGTCAATGTCTTCCTTCCATACTTCTCTTGCCATAGCTCATACTCCCAAGCAATGTCGTAGTTTCCTCTCTAGTTCCCAAGGCACTGTCAACACGCCACCGTCAGTCCGTCTTAGTCGTCGGTCCGAATAATGAGCGCCGTCGTTAGTGTGGTTCTGCGAACCACTCCAACACACACGACTGCTCGTCCCATTTATTAGTCGGTCAGATTTGAATCAGCGTCCCGATATACCCTAACCAACCAGCCTAGGTATCAAATTGACCGTTGTAGAACCAGCTGAACCGACAATTGTCCAAGCTTTAGGAGGAATCTGGTAACCGTTTGTACCCGATACGGGCAGATGCACTTCAGCTACAGAGGTACCGTGAACTTCTACTCTGATACAAACATAAGCCACAATTTCGTTACAATACAAAGAGTACAGGAATAACAAACAAGGGCACCAGCATGACTACATCCCTGAATCAGTCATCACCATCCGTCCCTAAACACAATTGTCCAAACCTTAATAACCAACCCATATCCGAGGTACACAAAAGACAATCCCGTTCCTCCAGAGGAAACTTACCAGTACCTTTTCA